CCCCAAAACCCCAAAACCCCAAAACCCCAAAACCCCAAAACCCCTCATAAGTGATTTTAAATGAAAATGATCTTAATTAAAATAAATATCGTTTGTATAGATTGCAGTCTAATCCAAACTTTATTAATTAGCTAATGCGGTTTCATCAGTTTCTTCTTCTCTTCTTGGTTCTGTTTTTATATCTAGAGGTAAACTTCTCCTTTCTTTTGAATTTCTTTGGGCCAACATTTTCAGAATGCTAACCTGCAAATACTAACTCCTAGTCTACATTAGTTTGATTCTTCTTGATTAGTTCATTCAAGTATGAGGCAGCTTCTGGTGTTAGGAATGAACTATTTGAGATCTTCTTAAACTATTCTTATGACTTAAGATTATCATATCTGCTTTTCATTTACTAAACTTTTGATAATTGCTTGGTTTTATGCCTAGCACCTTCGCCATCTTGTAATCTCTCTAGTTTAGCTAAATCAGTGTCAAATATATCAATAGGGGCTTTTATTTCCTTCTTCTTTTTCTTTTTACTTGCTCCATTTTCATCAAGGCCTAAAATAGTTTTTTCATCTTCATCATCTAGCTACAGGTCAGCCTATTTAGCCATTTTAAGCATCCAACTTGCACTCTTTTCTTCTTTAGTAGTCCTATGAAGAACCGATTCAAACTCTTTGGCGGCTTCAACTAAAGGTTCAAGCTTCGATAATTGATAATAGCTCACTGAAAACATTTCAATAGTTGAAGTGTCTTTTTTCAAAACTTTTCTAATAATCTTAAAATTCTTTTCATCCTCGGCAGCTAACAAAGCCAAAGATTCACCTTCACGTCCAATTCTAGCTGTTCTACCACATCTATGAATATATATCTCAGCATTGAAAGGGCATTGATAGTGGACTACATTTTATACATATGGGATATCGAGACCTCTAGCTGCTACATCAGTACATACCAAGACTGCTGAATTCGTACTAACTCCACTTTCTATAGCCTAAACCTAAGACTTAAATCTATCAAGGTTCTTTAGTCTTTACCTCTGTTACATTTTAGAATGCAGGCAATTATTTGGGATTTTTAGGAATGATAATAAACTGCTGATTCTTTTAGTGCAAGTGATAGAGTTACTGAAGATAATGCAGGACTCAGCTGATTTTTGTCGTAAGAAATAATATACATAGAGATCCTTCTCTTTTTATTCGCACTTGATTGCATATTCTTTAAGTGTAGCTGGCATTCTTTCTTCTTCTGTCAAATCAATAACCTTTGGTTGCTTAGATCTAAATCTAAGAGTCTTGCATAATTGCTCTAGAGTGTTAATGCTCTCTTATTTATTATGACCTTGCTTCTTCAATTTCTTTGCCTTCTTCGGTGTAATTCTGCCGCTTGGATCAATCGTCATTGTAGCAGAGCAAATAATATGCTATATTCCACCCATCTTTTTATATTCCTTAGCAAATTTTTCTTCTTGTTCCAAAGCTATTTGATGCTATGATAATCTCTTTTTCTTGCTATTTCCAGTTTTATCTTCCTCTTTTTTCTCTTCTTTGTCCTAATCATCAATAAGAAGGTCTTCAGGGTTAATCTCATCAAGCATTTCCGATTCATCATAGAGGTCTACAACTTTAGACATATCAAACTTCACTCCTCTCGCTGACTCTATTTGCTTAACAACAAAATCATTCTTTCTTTTTTAAGTCTTTGTTAACACTTCCTCTTTAATCTTCTTCCTTTTTTCTTGCTCTTCTGGGGTTACTTCTTACTAAGATACCTTTGTCTTAAGGATTCTCAATTTTTTAAATTCGACTCTCTTGCTATAAACATAATCTAGAATATATTTCATCTCTTTGAAATGGCCATCCTCTATCATTCTATCTGCCTCATCTAGTACAAGAACATCAATCATTGGTAGTTCACTCTGCAAGTATGGGTTCATTCTTTCATTAAGCAGCTCCCAAAGTCTACCTGGTGTTGCTATGATAACAGTAGGATTATAAGACAACAATCTCTCCTGCTTTTGTACTGACATTCCTCCTACCAGGGGACAAAGTTTTATCTTTTCCTAGTATTAGACTGGAACTACTGCCTAAATATGATCTTTAATCTAGATAGCCAATTCTCTAGTTGGACTCATTATTAGAGCCTTGATGCTTTTATACTCTTCAACATCATCACTTTCTGCTTCTTTAATAAGTCTCTTGCAAAGTAGATCAAGGATAGGAATTCCAAAGCATAGAGTTTTACCCTGTCCTGTTTTTGCTGCGATGACCATATCAACATGAGCATTGAGATAGACTAAACTTTAGGATTGTACTTCTGTGGGCTGCATAAATTTATTTGCCACGAGAGCCTCAGCAATTTCCTCGCTCATTTCAAACTGCATCCAATTTTTGAGAGCTTATTTTTTGGATATCTGAGGCACCTGTGTTTCGATGACTTCTTCGTGATCTTCCATTGAAAATTTCTCTATTACTTAGATAAAAGTATATATATTCAATATGAATTCTTTATCAACATATGTTATTGATCTAGTCTTATGGGGTTTTGGGGTTTTGGGGTTTTGGGG